CTTCGCGGTAGCCCACATCGACGAAGGGTTTTTTTCGGGGGGGGGGGGACCTTACCCGGAGCCTTCGACTCAAACGTCTGACACACAAGGCAGTGGGGTGTAAATCTAACGCGGGAATGTGAACGAAGCACCCGTGTGAGAGCTTCTAGAAACCCGTTGTGCAAGGTCTTTTAATTTCGATTAATTGTGTTGTTCGCTGGCGCGTAGATTATCGGTCCGCTTTTCGGGATCAGCCCTTAGCCTCATACACCCAATGAGACAAGCAGAATGTGGACGGGACAGCACCTTATTGGCTGGGGGCAGCCCAGCTTGGGCGGGCGGTAGCTGTCCAATGAAGTGCAAACACTTCTCCCACCGTCGAGAGGAAGCCCCAGGTACCCCATTACTAAGTCCATCTAGCGGGGTTTTCGACCGGTAAACTGACCCTCACCGTGTTTTTTACTGGAGTGGCCTCTCCAGGGGCGGATGTAGATAGATGAAGGTCAGGAGGTGCCCAATCAGCTGGCTTTGTGAGACTGAGCTTCGACTGGCCTCTACCCGTTGACCTTTCAGGTATGATTGGAGCTACGGCTGTGAAAAGCCGGGGTCATGGAGGTACGCAAGCCATCATACCACGTCAAAGTGCAGTTTCGTCGTGATGGCTCTCGTTGGGAACAACACTTATCCCAAAAGGAAAAACACAAGCCCTTATTACGGAGCGTTTCAGGCCAAGTTCTCTCACATCCACTAGTTTGAAACCAGTAGAGTGATCTATTCTACTTTGCCTTCAGTTATCTCACCACCACAACACCCCCTCCCCCATGACACTTATCCGTTGGCATGCAAGAATAACCAACCCACACTGGATACCGTTTCTTCCTTGATTTACTCTACTTGCATTCTCTAAACGACAAAGCCAAACACGTGTTTTGTGCAAATGTTGGTTATTCTTCAGACTTTGACTATGCGTCCCTTGCCCTTTTACCTGACAAGCTGCAGTCGTTCCGTTGTCCCTCATCTCATCATAGAGAAATTGGAGACTATTTTCCTAACGATATCAGTGCGGTAAATTAGAGAGAAGACGATCAACAGCGTCACTGTACAGTTCGGGTGTACTTTAACGCGTTTTATCATCTTGTCGTTTTAGGGATTGCATCAGTCACTTACCTTCTACTCTCGCTATGCGAAACTTCAAGTATGGTAAGGACGTCATCATTTCTATTTCCATATCTAATCAATCGGAAGTGGCGGCATACAGCACAAAATTATCCCGCTTCGTTACGCTTTCCAGATCTTAACGTAAATCCAGAAAATTGGTTTGAATGTTTTTCTAACCATTCCCATTTCCATTCGTCAGTGTACAGATTAAAGAAAAGCTGATAAGCAGGGTCAATCATATAAATTACTTAGGTGTCCTTATTGAAGGTAACTTCCAATGGTCTCTACATACCCAAACTGCTTCTGGTAAGCTGAAATGTCTCTCCTTTTATATAAGAAGATAGTGCCACTTCTGTTCTGACCACTCGGTGATAGGAGTCTTTTGTCCTCTGTAATTTTCTTTGGTTTCCTGGAGGCTGACCTCAAACTACTGAGATGTGGCCTCACAATGATTAGCCGTTTCCCAAGTTTCGTTATATGTTCGGATAAACAACATCTGTGATGACCACATTGATACACGCATGAAGCTCACTGACAAAATTCTTTCTGATAGCACCCATCCCTTATACATGGACTTGTGTGCATGTAAATCCTCTCCCGTCACCCGCTCCAAATAGACTTATTCCATCTCGCACGTCTTGGTACTGTATCTTCCCTTGAAAGAGAGTGATAACAAGAGAGCTCGTTTTAAACAATTTAATGCATTTAGCAGTTAATTCAGAAATTTCGCACGCACCTCTTCCTAATTTTTTATCCTTCTTGATCAGTATTGCGATGGTGATTTCCTTTTGGCTGAAAGCTTGTGTATAACAACTTGCTAAAGCTTCAATGCAATAAAATTAGACGAACTACAGAAATCTCTCAGTCAATTGTATTCTGTCACTACCTAAGTACAGACAGGTTTCTATTAATCTTACAGCAGAATTTATCAAGGAGTACGGTACACTGGGTAACCTCGCCGAGTGATAATGTTTTACATCGCCTGGTTAGTATCACGGAATAAGACAAAATCACCGGCATCCTATTTACAAGCAAAAATGATATGTTACAAAGAGTTGTGAGCAGTTCTGATTTCCTGAGTTCTTATTTGTGAAATGTGTAGCAACCCTCAACGAATTCGAATGCCATAGTAAAAAGATCTAAATCAACATAGAGTTGTTGTCGTACAAACAATCACACTCCACTATCAACTAAGATGGCTTTTCTGCAGAGGTGGAGTCAAAATGATATCTGATCATGTTTGACGTGAATCACATGTCGTGTCTCAGTTTCAGTTTGTACAACCATTAACCAAGTACTTTTGTGTTCCGGTTTTGGTTGCTATCGTGCCGTATGTACTATACATATACTATATATTTTCACAAACGTATCGCGTAAACTTCTAGATTGGTTGTCAAAAAAAGCAACTGACAGTCTGTAGCAGGCCAGCAAGCATGTGTGGCTCGGAGTTTGCGAAAAACGTCATTGCTTGACGAAGACCAAAAAAGCCGATGTGATTCCGTTCCAATCGGAAGAATTTAAAACGCCATGGTTTACGCTTATGCCCAGATAAATTCAATGAATTTGCTCATTGAACCAAAAGTACGCATCTGGATGACCCCCTCCGCTTGCAAATAACAAAGAAGGAAAAAAAACAAGTTTAATATCAAAAGTAGTCAAAACACAGGTGTTCATCAAACTCAAGCAACACCACCCTCATTTTGGAAATACATTTCAATCTTCAATATCATACTTGTATATTGATGGCTATGGTTAAAGTGTATTAACAAATGATTTTATCTCCCACTCCTTTGTTCTTGGATCTCTTCTTACCACTGTTTGAATCTGCGCGACCTTGAGTTTTGCGATAAAATTTCAAGCAAAGCAGCACGGGAATTTATTCTTTTTATTAAATGACGCCTGTTTCATGAGTGTCTTAAGTTGAACACACGTACTCTAAATTGCTTATCTCTTTTCATTTAGTGCACAGTAAATGAGCAAATAAATGAAAAAAATCCAACCTAAATAAATTGATGAATTATTTAGCTACAGACTACTCACGCATTATGCACAATACTGAAAGAACCGAAAATATAGTCCAAGAAACATACAAGTTCATCTTCGAAAGTTGACCTTGAGGTGTGCAGCTCTTTGAATAAGCGTCTGGTAGTGTCACTATACCCAAAACCGATGAAAAATTAAAAGGGTTTTGGCATACAATTGAAGCCAAGAGGCACATAAATTCGATGACCTAGTTCCTGACATGAGCAAATGCTTTGAAGTGAACGCAAGCCCAATTTTTCACTCAATTAACAGAATTTCCCCATCAACCGAGAGAGATAAAACTGATCATATCAAAGCAAGACGATGGATGTATTTGATTGCAGCAGAGAAGAGTTGCACAAAAGCAATCCGTTGGGTAGTCTGGGCTGATTAACCGTTTTTTCCTCACGCTTTCGTTTGGAAAATGATGGCTCAATTTAAAGTGCAGCTGAGGCCACTTGATGCGAAGTGGTTATTGAACGCCTAACATAACAGAGAACGTAGTGATTTTACCAACGAATTTAAATCGCGTCGTCCGTCAGTTTGGCAATGGGCTTATCTCAATGGTACCCAGCGAGTAATTCAGTAGGCGAAGAAGTTAAATCTACTGAACTAGTTGTCCAATGAACTTCGTTTTAGCTGTCAAAAGAAGTTATTATTCATTCCGCCTAACGACTTGGAAGGAAAGGAAATACTGAGCGCCTTGTTACCGGTCTCCTGCACACACCTCTCTGGATATTGCTAAATACTTTGCACCGATAAGAGAGGTTTTCGGTTACTGCTACTCGTTAAATGCATTCGCGGAAGTCATATTTTTCACAGATGAAGGTTGGTATATCTTCTCGCTTGAGGTTGGTAGTAAAAACCGTTTAGACCTATTTCAATTTTTTTTCACATTCCAGTCTCTGGAGGGGTCACGTTTAATGTCAAATTCTTTCAATTACCGCGCAGCAGCTGGGATTTCAGCTTAATGGAAAACGTTTTCCTATATCACAATCAGCGAAAAGTCAGCTGCCTCCACTGTGGTCTTCAGTGATTAGGGTTCGGGGCGTATTAGAGCAAACTGGCAAATTGTGTTTGGCAGTCAACTTAGTGGACTCCCTGGTAAAGAGACTGCCTTCAGTGCTCAAAAATGAAGAAGGCCAAATGGAACANGGGCGAAATGAAAGTAAAATACCTGTATGAAGTCTACGAGTCATTTCAACAAATAGATTCTAGTTACGTTTTCTACTGTGACTTTGTTATTTTGCAACCGGTGCAACCGTCGTCAAAATTGAGAAATCGTACATTTCAATGGCATTTGGCTAATGGAAGCAAAGATATAAGTGGGTATTTTATAGATATATTGCCTCTGATGAAGGGCAACGGCATATTTAATCCCGTGAATGAGGCTGGAAAAACGACGGAAAAAAATGTGATGAAAATCAGGATGTTGCACGAGTTTGGTCAATACCTGTATTATCTGAAAGGGAAAGTTTGTACGGGGATGAACAGGTTCTCCAAACTAAGTTGAGTTCAGAAACATGACATTTCTTGTTTTTTCGAAAGACAAGGCCCTGAAGAGCTGATAGTATGATTTTCACATGGATGAGGTTGGCGATCTGTCGTCTTTCTTAATTTTGGGCTTCAGAACTTCTTTCTGGAATGAATAATGCAAAAAGACACGATTAAAAATTCGATCATAAACACTCAATGAGAAGGCTTTATAAGTGTTTAGTCATAGATCCACCAACTGTTGAGCAATCTCATCAGCCTCAAACGAAAATAAGTAAACAGTTCGGCAGAAGGAGAGTGAAAAGTAGTATTTCTCTGTCAGCCGCATGCGAATGGGTCCAACAACTTCAGAACAAGGCATCATAGTGGCAGATGCATACAGTGATCTTAACACCCGTATTAAATTCGTAAACATCAACCTATAGGTTGTAAAATCAAATCAAAAATTTTAGTGAATAACTGATCCACTTACCACCATCGGTATGATGTCATTCTCCATGATATCAACTTCAATCCAGTACACAAGACCATTGTATCGAGGTTCCGCAGTTAACACCAAGTACTTCGACTGAAGGAAGGTGTCATGTTCCATGATTTTGTCCTTGAATGTACTCAACAATACTCGACTATTTTGGGAGGGGATTGAAGATTAGGTTTTTAATAAACTACCCAAATTGCCACTTCGGGGAAAAAATGGATAGAACTGATTGCATATTGGCGATATTCAGGTCAATCTAATTGTTTCACATCAGCATGTCGCACCTTGAAACAGATTAACTAAGCTCTTCGATACACGTCAACAAAAATATAATGGCGGCATCGTAGAACTATCCGTGGAAAAGGTGCGACCCGTGCTCTCCACAGTATAGTGAAATTACACAACAGTTCACCATAAATAATGATTAGAAAACCAACATTCTCCTGGGACACGAAAAATCGGGTTATCAAAGACACCATGACGTTAAGCTAGGGAGGATGTAATGGCGAAAGAGTGGGATCAATTTCCGTGAAAAAGCCTGCAGTATTACAATCTCAAGATAAATGCACAGGTGACCATTCCTAACAAGGATTAAATAGACACACACATCCTCCAAAGCCTCTCAACTGATGACAATGCGTGAAACATCACTTCATAAACGCATATCTTTATAATTCCACTAAAATGCAACGAGTGCCGTGTATTTTGACTGTAAAATAATATGTAGCCTAAAGAAAACTAAACACAACGGAGCAACATCAACACAATTGATTATATTGAACACGAACTCACTTGTCTTTATTCACCTCATTCAGCTCGTCTCGACCGTGTCGAATCATTTTATACTTTGTTACCGGTGGACGTTCAATCCACAATTTGCGAACACGAATTCGATTAAGAAGATCATCGTCTTCTCCGCCCCAACCAAAATACATATTCGAGAATCCACCCACTAGTTCAAACTGTGTCCGTGACAAAGCGGTCACCCCTCCCACAAATTCGGAATAAGGGAGTCTTGGTGGACAAAATATGGGAAAGGCCATTAAAAACAACGGCAGGTTGAACACAAAAATCGGTTTAGAAGAAACTTTGAAGTTATGAAATCATTGGCATGCAATCGTAGATAAATGAGTCTCTTTTGAGACGGTTTTCAATTCGTTCTGGTTGCGTTTTAAATTCCCTTCGGCACAATCAGCCCCCGCTGGATTAGAAGTTACGTTTTCGTGCATTGTACTTCTGTATCAGAGAAGGTTCCATTTACCATCTTATAAAGGCAATACCATAATAAATAAAATTTTAACGAACATCAGTCAATATAGGATGCTTTTTGTTGATGATTCACCTCGGCTTTTGTAGATACGTGGTACTGCAAATGCTCTTCATGTATTGGGGGTTTGGGATTCACGCATAGAAAGCCTAATTATTTCTCTCATAAAAAATATGATTTATTTGCGATCGTATGCATGTGTCTCGTGAGAGCGAAAATGGAATAAACCAATCCAACTCCATCATATGAAGCACGTGTACCCAATTTCTCATTGACTGACGGTATTTTTTCATGTTATTTTCCGATAGTTAATCAGGAGCACAAATACTTCTAGATCCACCTGGTCATCTTGTGAACGCTTCTTAAGGTTTTGATACATTTGTAGGGTTTTGTCATCTGAGGCGTTATAGGCGTTTTAGGCTATAACTCTTTGACCACGTTGGTCGCTAATCTCTGCGACCGTTCGCGAACCAGTCATGGATTCCAATTTTGCATAACACACTTGGCGCCGATAGTAAACGAGGCAATAGGTCTGTTCCGAAAGATCCAAAAATAGGCTTCAGTAATTCAACTTGCCTTTGATGACTCCCTAACGCAATGTGTGGAACATCCTAGATCCTGACAAACAATAACTCCCAGATCCTTTTCATTTCGAGCAAGCGGTATTAGCTGAGTTCCTAGTACGTATGGGAAGAGACCCCTGTGACACAAAGATACAACCTCATATTTCTCATGTACGGATCTTTAGAGAACTGCACAGACAGCCAATGTTGGTACCAAAAGAGAACCA